ATTGGCTAACAGGTATCAGGGTAGGGTTGTAGTTTTCAAAGTTATTTTGGCTCGACTGAACACATTTATACAGGACTTACAGGAGCATTTGGTTTTTATTACCTGCCATGTTGGAAACTAGCAAACATGACCTGTTTGACTCTTAATAGTAACTTAAAGCAGCAAACCAACGCAACAGCAATGCAGTCACATGTAAAATCCCAAAATACACTAAGAGCTCCACTCTTAGAAAACAAGCTACATGATCTGGAAGGGGAGGTGAGTGGGAGGGGGGGCAAAGAGAGCAGGGGTCCAACAGATCAGCTTAACAAAAAAGATATGGGCAAAAGAAATTACTACACATATTCAAATTTTAAAAAAGAAAATATCCTGCGGTTTATATCTTAAATGTTATGTTCTTCATGTTTAACAACTCGGGGAGCTTTATCTGTGGGACAAATACGCTTAAGATCCATATAAACAAACCTATTCAGCTCTCGCAGCAAGGTCACTCTGTTTTACATTAATCTTAAAACATGCGATGTTCTTTATAAACTAATTGATGTGTTAAGCAGCACAGAAGATCCTACCTGCTGCAGACCGACAAGTCATCCAGTGTGAAAGAGCTCTCAATGTTTTCCTGCTGGACATTTCAACTATGATGTCCATCTGTCCTTGCATATATCCCACATGTCCACTCCGCTGGTATAAATAGAGTAACGTGTCCTTGTCACGTGTAGCTTTCATGCTCACCAGAGGTGTGACATTTTACTTTTTCAAATAATTGATAACAGTAATTACTTACAATTTAACAATGATGCCGAGTCTCTAAAAATGATTTTTTTTGAGTGGTAGTTTTAAGAAGGTACACTATTATTTTATTTTTGCTGGTGTGAAAAACAAGGTGAAGAGCCAGTTCTCCAGTGGATTTCAAATGTGCATCAAATTATATAAAAAAAAGGCAAACAATAACTGTCTTTTGACTAAATAAGATTTCATGCAAGTCGATGCACAATAACCAGGGTTTACAAGTCACGTTCTGGGTGTTCTCCCTTTTAATATAACATCTTGAAATCCTAATACAATGCATTTATCAGGTCGTTTTACACCTGCAGAATACCCAAGTTAGATTCACAACAATTAAGATTTCCAATTGGATGCAAACATTAATAATTAACTCATTTTCTATGCATGTACATCAGGTAACCTTCGGATTTAGCTCTAAAAAATAAAATACAGCCTTTTGGTAAGAGAAAGGTGCTTTATTTTTGCAAATTATACATCTTCCGAACTTTTATTATGGCACAAAAACAAAAGAAAGTACATTACAAAAACACTCCATTTGTATAAAAACAATATATGCACATATCAAGCTTTTTGTTTTACTGTACAACAAATACCATAAGTAGCAAAAAAGATGAATAGCTAAGGAATGACGACTGCAATTGTGTGACTTGAAATAGTAAAGCACACAACTGCCATAGGGTTGTCAAAATAAAACAGAAGAGACTTGGATGAGGATTAGAGATACAGTAAAGGCCACTGGATACTATCCGAAAATCAAAATCATCATCAAAAGCTCCTCAGCTGTGTTTAAAGCTCATAATGGCAGTCATCACAGTAATGTAATCACGCCATTTCCTTCTGACATTTGGCAAATTAAATATTAGGCAAATAGAGTTCATGGTGGAAAAAATAGTGCTGCTTCCTTGAGAAAAAAAAAAAACCCATCAACAACAAGAAAACAGCTATACTTGGTAAGATACTTGGAGTTTTTCTGTTAAAAAGCACATTTTCATCATGAGCTCAGTACCTTAAAGTGCACATAGACTCGCAAAGATTACGTTTTAAAAATATAAGTTTGGGTCTAAGCCGAACTTTGCGGAACAAATTCAGTTGTTTAATTTGATACAATGATTTCTTTAATAAATATCCTTATAAATATTATGGTTATGAAAGCCAGTGGAATGCAGTTCATGCACCTCAGTTGGTTACAAAAATAAATACAATGTCAACAACGCAAATTACAAAAATTAAAAGATAGAAATATTGATCCATACAGTGCCTCGGGGAATTCTCCTAGATGAATCGTGGCCCACCAGAAGACCAATAGTGGTTTAACATAAGCAGTAAACATCAGTGCACAAAGCCAGAACATAAGCAAAAACAAGCAGGTTCAGTAGAAAAATGAAAAACAAAAAATAATAATTGAATGTTAAACAGTCAGTTTGCTCCACAAAAATCACAGCTGCCGAAGTCTTTTAGAGGAAAAATTTAACTATTATATGGCGAGTTATTTAGATGCAGCTGCTGAGCTCAGATTCAGAAGCAGCAGATTAAAAACAGCTTATTTTAAAACCAGTGTTGCACACATAGAAAGGCTTTTTCTCTGGTTTAAGCAGCTAATTTTCAACTATTTCAAGCATTTCAAACACAACTAGCCTACTCTGAAAAAGGGTCTACAATGCCCCTCTCTATTCTTGGCACTTAATTTATTATAGTGATCTGGAAAAGAATCGGGAAGCAGGGATAAACCAATAAAATTGGGGAGACAGTGTGTCAACTAAAAACTGAAGTCATTCTAAAGATTTTCACCGGAAGAAAAAGGTGAAAAAAAAAAAAGAAGTGATTTTCCAGTGAATTCAGAGTATCAGTGTGACAGGTTATTGTTAAAAACACAAAACAGTGTCAGCCTTAGTGATACGAAGGCAGGAGCAGCAGCAGTAGTTAAATTTGGCCAACATTCCTAGAGTCAGCTGGTCTTCCTTCAGGTCCTTCCTGAGCTTTTCTCCCTACCTGCACCAAACCCATCACTCCTCCTACACATTATGCACCTGAGTGGCAGCCGAGGTGGGGATGGTGGTGATGTTTCGCGTTGAGGGCCGCTCCCTCCTCACATATCTCTCTTTCCTCCCTGCAGACGGAAAACGATGCGTTTAATTAAATGTGCTCTGAAATCCGAAGACTTTGTGCTGACTTTAGGAGTTCTGAATCGAAGCATTTAAAAGTTGTCGGCCAGCTTGAGCACAACTGATTTAAACAGATATATTGTATTTGCACTGACCTACGGAACCCAGGGAAAGCCTGAGGAGATAACATTTAATCACTTGAAGCAAACATATTGGAGTAATGACAATCTAAAGTTGCAAGACTTTTAGAAGGGAGCTACCGTATTTTCTGAAAGATAGCTATCCAAAGTGAAGTGTATTTTTGTTGACCCATTACAGAGAATACGCTGCAAAGTTGCAAGTGTAATGTGAAAACCTCCAAGGTGTATAAAAACCTTTGTGAGGCTCTGCATGAGCAATCTGATGATTTTAACGACTGAACTCTGACATGAGTTAAAGCTACATGATCTGAAGGATTCCTGCAGGAATTGACACAACCTTAATGAAAAGAAAACATTTCAACAGCTGCAAAACATCTGTAGCAATGCCAAATATTTTAGGCATTGCCTAATAACTACACAACAGTAAAACCTGTTGAGCAAGACCTTAAAACAGGTATTTTACAGACATAGTCGTCTTACCTGAAGGGATCATAACTGCCTGTAAGGGATAAAAACAAAAAAAGCCATGAGCTTCTTTATGATTTCTAATGTTAAATTAAAATGTTTGGAAGGAAAAACAAATTAAAAAATTACCGTCTCACTTGGTTGAAATATAAAGGCTGTAAATATAAACAAAAGATAAAAAAGATAAGATAAGATAAAAAAATAAAAAAAATACTAAGAGCCAACTCATAAGAGTTTTTCCTCTGAGGAGACTCGTACTCGCCTTTGTTTCGCCGGTAGAAGAAACCAGGCAGCCGGTTGGAGCGTTTGAGGTAGAAAAAGGAGGCAACAGTGAGAATAAGGAACATACTGATCAACAGCGTTCCCAGAAGAACGGAGGCCGCCACGCCTGGGCCTCCTGCACAAAAACAGGAAACAACCCCCACTTACAATGCTGCCAGAACTCAGAACCTGGGAGACGGGTTTTAGTCTACCTTTCTTACCAATTTTAGGAATGACAGTTGTTACTGTTGTGTGGTTTTTACGTTCCAATGTGTAGTCTAGAAGAACAAAGGTCAAATTATATATATATGTAAATATACATCTACTAAAACTCACTCGAAACACTAAGAATTAAAAAGCTCGTACTGTATGTGCAAACGGTTACATTCTCCAAATCCACAGCTGCAGCGTCACAGAATATGCAGACGACGTTGCTGTTCTCCAGCAAACGATAGAAGCAACCTGCAGAAGATAAGCAGTGAGTATTTCAAAGTCCAGACCTAGGTGTAACTGAGAATCTGCAGACTCAAAGATCTGATGAACTTGAGCTATCCTACAAAGAATGTCAGTTTTAGATGTGTAAAGCTGGTAGAGTAATAATCCAAAAGACCTGCGTATGTAACAACAATGAAAGGTGATTTAACAAATTATAAACATGAGGTGTTGAATACAAACTACACGTCACACTCTTATTTTATTTTGAAAAAAAAGAAGGTATTTTTCTCCTTCCAGTTCACAATTATTCACAACTTGGTCACATACAAGCCCAAGAAAAAAAAAAAAAAAGCTAATTGAAGATTGTGGTTGTGATGTGATGGAATGTGGAAAAGTATGAACACTCCCACATTACCTGGTTCACAGTGAGTGTCATTTGAGCACGAGTTGTTCACTTTCTGCTTCTCTCCACAGCACTCCACAGAGTTATGATGTAGGGCCTGTGAGCACAGAACCGGGCTCGGATTAATAAAGCCGCACAACCTGAACTGCACACAGCAAGAACAGATTAACATCCGTTCTGTACCTTCGTTACGGGCGTCTCTGGTCTGATCAGGATCACAGAGGCAGCCAAGACCAAAAGGAATGACAAACCCATACTTGAACCCTTGAAGATGAAACAGATTTAATTTAGACATGAATCAATGTTACAAAGCCAGACACACCTTTACTCATAAACCCTCCTGTGGAAATAAATAAGGTGACACATAAAGACGGCTTCTTTTGGGCACCAAACAGATCTTACCTTGCCTCAAAGTAGTTTAGCTTTAAAGCTAAATTACTTTGTTAAAGCTGCAGAGTGAAACTTTTATATATATATATATATATATATATATATATATAAGAGATGAATAAATAAAGAGATGCTATTATTAATGTTTTATATCTTGCATTTGATTTCTGTTTATGATATAACTAAACTGCTCTTCCTCAAAATAACTGGAGAAAAAGTTCAAATGTTCATACAAATATTTTTTTTAAATAAAACAAAGACAAATTAATGCATTTCATTTTCAACATATATCCACCTATCTTGGTCCTCGGATTTTATTTCTTAGCCCAAACTTTCTCTAATTTTACAATCAAGGAACTATTAAAACTGATACATTTAGAAACTCTAAAAATAATAGGTCAATTTTAATTAAAAAGAAGTCAGCTTGTTCAGTGCTTGACATTTCAATCACCGATGCAAGAAAGAGAAATTTGCCTTTTTTGGTCAGCAAACTCTTATTTAAATTTTATAACAGCACAACTGTTGTAAAATGCTTTTTTTTTCTTCTTATATTTTTGTGCGTTTTTTTTTGTTGTTGTTGTTGTTATTGTTTTACTTTCTTATGAGTGGTGGAGTTTCAATGAGTGAGATATGATTCATATTATGATTGTTCGAACTTGTTTAAACTAGCCACTTTTATAAATAAAAAAAGGTATGCATGTTGCAGGGCTACAGTAAACATAAGCTGCGTTTGTCTTGATTGCATCTGCATCTCTACCAGGCACGTCGTTGTGCACAGAAACAATGTAAACAGAGGAGCAGCAGGTTAGCGTCAATGGGCTGATGTACCAGGTGCTAGCTAGCACCTGCCGTAATGTGAAATAAAAAACAAAAGGTACGAGCAGACAGAACTGAAACATCTAAACCAGTGATACATAAGAACATCTAAAAATCCACTTGAATTAGTTTTATCTAATCAGTTTGAATTACAGAGGCAGAATCGACTGCTGCGTGCTGAAACGTAAGAAAGTTAAACTCACCAGCCAGACGACGGAAGGCTTCGGCCTGACCAAACTCACCTGTATGGGTTAAAAACCCGCAGAGCTGGTCTGCAGCAGGGCTGTTACCACACAGTCACTGGTATTTGTTGGTGGATTTGTCATGGATCCACCTCTGTGACTGTCTCAGACAGATAATCCTACGACTCGGAGATACTCGTTTTAAAAAAATTTGGCAGGCTGACTTCCGGGAGCGATTTTCAAAATAAAGTCCACACGTCACCGACTGCTTCTTCTTGGTGGAGCTCAACATTTATCTACCCCTGAAAGAGCTTATTTCTCTTAAATACGATTTCCTCGGCCCCACTTTAAATAAAATGTAATAAACGTGCATATATATTAAGGTCTGCGCATTGACTGAACCAAAATACCACACAGATCAATATATAAATGTTTCCATTGTACTTTTACACAGAGTTGTTTAAGTTAAACCTTCACATACCTTCAGGTCTTTTGCAACTTGCAACTAGGTTTCTTCCTTCCTTTCTTGCTTAGTTTAATTTTCTCATTAGTTCTTACCAGCTTATGTCTCTTTTTCAAGATAGGCCCTCCCTTAGCATGATGGTACCTTTACCATGTTGAAAGGTAACGATGGTGTGTTCAGGGTATTTTTGCCTATTGGATGGTGTTATGGCAGAGTATATACTACTCACACCTGGCGTTGCCCACAGTGTTGAAGATCACAGAGTGATAGAGGCACAGATGGAGAGGAAAAATGAAAATAGGAGGGCAACTATTATCATAACAATATTGAATTTTTTTTGTCAGTGCAAGATTATCTAACATTGTGTAACCCTAAAAATAACAATAACTCTCAAATACAGACAAAATAAAATATTTGTAATATTCACAAAAATAGGTAAAATCTCTACAGGTCTTGTTAACAGGTTAATTGTTATGTGCAGCAGCATAACCAAAGGTGCAATTCAAGTCAACAAAATTTGTGTATCTTTTCATATCATAAACTGCTGATATAGCTGGGGCAGCAGTAAATTAGTGAAAGCCAGCATCATTATATTATTAAACTGAAACGTTAAAGTGCCATCATGTAAAAAAATAAACACATATTGTGTTTTATTTGTGCTAATTTTGATAATAATAATAATAACAACAATAATAATAATAATAATAATAATAATAATAATAATAATAATAATAATAATAACAATAATAATAATATATTTTATATTTAGAGCAGATTCTGATGAATCTGTAATTCTTTGATTATTCCAGCTGCTTCCAACAGGCACATGATATAAGGCTTCACTGGCTTAGAAAAAATATCTACAAAAGATCTCTTGTCTCTAAATTCAAACTAAGTCCGTATTGTTTTTCATAAGAGTAAATATTCCAAAAAGGTATTAATAGGAGCATGATTGCTAAGTGAACAGTAAACAAATACCAATCCAAAACGGTTATTTTCTCATTTATTTTTTATAAGTGTAAGCTTTCTTTTCGACGGTCAGTAAACGCAACCTCGCCTCGCACTGAAGGTTTAAACGGCGGGAAATTTAAAACAGCTTAAAAAAACCAAATGGTTTTTTAAGCTATTTGCAAATAAGTCCCCGGGGACGAGTCCAAGGGACCTGTGAGTTGATTATTTTTTATATTAGTGTAGTTATGTCACGTACAGTTTAGATTTCATACTTTACTTTTGTAATCTGTACCATTCTTTAGCTAAAGCCTTCTCTGTTTGACTGAAATAGCGAGTTAGCATGTTTAAGCTAATTTTTTTCTTTCTTTTTTTTAAATCTTGAACTAACTTGTTGACCTTTCAAGCAGGAAACCAGACATGAGTTATTTGAGGAACATCAAGGAAATGTTGAACATACCAGCTGGGACCAGGTAATTAGCTATATTTTTTAAATATTGTTTCTTGGCTACTAATGTAGATAAATACATTGTTATTTTGTATTATATACTTTTATTTACAAATAGTTTTTTTTTTAAGTTAATTTGTAATTTATTGTTTTCCTTCAACACACTGCATGATGGCGACTAATTAATGAGCAGAAATGCGGCCTCCAATGGATATCCTGGTTTGACAGATTCCCAGGTTTTCTTTGGCTCACAGTTTTGGCATGAACATTCCCAGGGAATGTCTCAGGAAATGAGTCTGTCATCCAGAAACTCCCAGCAAAGTTCACAGGAGGTAAGTCTCTATCCTCCATAAATTAGTATGTTATTAAAAGAAGTAAATTTATTGCAATGACTCAGTTTCTTTAGTGAAGCACATTACGATTAATTATACTCTGACTGATAATCACATATGATGTTTTTGTTTTTTTGTTTTCAGGGAAGTGACCCAACAATTTTAAACAGATATACCTCTAAACCTCTTCTGTTTGGCGACATGAAGGACAAAACGAGAACCTCAGGCTTGCTTGACAAGTTTGAAGAGGACAGGAAAAAAGCAAAAGAGAGAAGTGACAGGTGAATCTATGAACTATAAACTTAAATCAAGTACTTTGATTACAAAAAGGCTGCCTAAAAATGTTTGTATATTGCATCTACAATCTCTGTATTTTCTTTTAACAGTGACCAGTTTTTTAAAGAATCCCAGCATATTAGAGAAACTCTCGTCAATGTAAGTGGACATGGACGGTCACTCTGTGTTCATCACTGACTTCTGTCCTCCAGATGTTCAAAACATACAACTTCTTTCAGATTCAACAACTGGTGGCTGGCACTGAAAAAAACACATCTGTGTGCCAAACAATCTTTGAAAAATTTGACAGTTTTGCATCATCACGTAAGTTTTCTGCCAGTTGATTCTGCATTTTCTGGGATGGGTTTATCTAATGCAACAAAGGCAGGGTTGGGTGATCTCCTTTCTTTAAACATGCGCTTAACACCATTTTTCTTTTTGTTTGTTTGTTTGTTTTCTAAGCTGGCCTTAGAATTGAGTTGGCCCCTACCTGTGATTCATCATGTGTCTCACTCAATGCCACTAATAACTAATAAGAATAAAATAAATGTATTGTAAAAATTTAGGGGAAAAAACAACTGCAAACATTTGTTTTCTCCAGTGTGTGGTGCTGTTTGCCCTGTTATTACTATTTGTACATACAGTATACAATTCCCAAGTCACCCTTTATTTCTATACATTTTACTTCAGAGGAGCAAGACTTTTTGGTAATGTTTTAAGGTGGTCTTGATCAATATTTATACATGCTTTCTGAAGGTTCTGCAAAGTTTGTCTCTGGTGCTTCTCTGCTGTTTTTCACTTGTCTTTAGTGCACTACCATTTTTAGAGAAAATGTGATTTGTTCAAGTCACTAAGCACTTAGATATTAAACCTTCTGGCATACATAAACTCCTAAAGCTAAAAAGATAAATATTATTTATATATATATATATATATATATATATATATATATATATATATATATATATATATATATAGAGAGAGAGATATATATAGATAGATATATATATATAT